CTGGAGGGACCTGAGGCCAGGAGAAGGGTTGTGGGGGAAGGGGTCAGGAGAGAGGCCAAATTTGTCAGAGCTCCTTAGAATCAGCTGGGGAACTTTGGCAACGACCACAGGGTAACGTCATTGATCTGACTTCTGATTCATTTCATCTGAGCATCGGTCCTGGCACAGGCGTTGCTCACAGTCCTGCCAGTGCAGCCCAGTTGACTAGTGCTGGGCTGACCTGCAAGGCCTGTAGGTTGCACATTTTTACCTTTGTCTCAACAGGCCCAAGTGAGGTTATCAGCTTCGGAGGTGGAACAGGGAGGGGTTCCACAATCAGATTTGCTGTGGGAGGAAAAACAAAAATGAGTGGCCTAGTTGCAAGCCCTACTTTGGAGGTGGGTCCGAATCCTGGAGAGAAAAAAACAAGAGAAGCCCATTCAAGTCCTGGCCCAGCTGCTGTCTGCTGACAGGGCGGGGCCTCAGCTGGGAGAAGAGCCACGTAACCTTCAAACCTGACCTTTCCACCCTGGAGGTCAGTCAGGTTGGTCAGAGCTGAGACGTCAGTTTCCCAGGCCTTTGGCCTGGGCTGGTCAGGGCAGGAGCAGGCCTGCAGGCTCACTGGGGTTGTAACTGGGAATCAGAGAGAGAAGACACTGTGTGGAGGGAGGCCAGTGATTGGATGACGGGGTGAAGGGAGGCCAGTGATTGGATGACGGGGTGAATTGAGGTCAGAGTCTGGCTTTCCAAGAACAAGGCGACCCGGAGACATCTGTTTTCATGCACGGCCTGGAGCAGAGCGGGGCTGCGGTTCTGAAGGCTGATTGTGCAACGCGAGGGCCTTTCCCACCAGCCTTTCCTGCTCCTCCAGAGGACACAGGAAGGAGGGAACTGCAGAGAACGGCACCTCCCAAGTGCCCAGAAGGCTTATCTATCCGTCTAGTCAATCCCTCCCGCCCAGCTTACTGGCTCAGAGAGTGCAAAGGCTTGCCTAAAGTCACACAGCAGTCCTGGGCCCAGAGCTGTCTTCTCCCACAGGCACAGCAGGCCCAGTGCCCAGGGCCCACAAGACTTGTAGGGGCTCCGGAAAGTGTTTTTATTTCTCTTAAAATAAGAAGAAAAAACATAATTCAGCTTGTTTTATCACCAGAAAGGAGACTTGGCCCTTAGCGGGTCTGCCTAGGGCCCGTGGTGGTGTGTGGGTTCCTCATGCAGGAAAAACTTTCACAGTGCAAGTCCAGGTGATTTGAGAGTCCGATTATTAGAGCGTAACAAGGAAGTGGACAGTGGAACAAGGAAGGGCTTAGGATAGAACAGTGGTCGGCAAACTGCGGCTCGCGAGCCACATGCGGCTCTTTGGCCCCTTGAGTGTGGCTCTTCCACAAAATACCAACTTCTGCGCATGGGCCACGAAGTTTCAATCACACTGTACGTGCGCGCCCGCACGTGGTAGAAGAGCCACACTCAAGGGGCCAAAGAGCCGCATGTGGCTCGCGAGCCGCAGTTTGCCGACCACTGGGAAGCAACAGGAGAGAGCCTGGGCAGGGCTGCTTGGGCTCACTGAGAAATAAAAATACAGTAACAGAAGTGAGCCACGGAGGAGGAAAGTCAGAGAAAAGGGGGCCTTGGAGACGGGGTCAGGGGTGAGCCTGCTGCCCAGCGCTCCCCTGGTTGCAAGTCTTGTGGGGCCCTCGGAGTTTAGGAGACGCATGCCTGTGGGGGCAGAGAGGGGGCGGGAAAGGCTCAGGCTGCTCCCTGGAGGGAGATGGAGCACAGGTCCTTTGTTGCCTTTTGGTGAGGGGTTTTAAAGGCTGGGAACTTGGGGGAAATTTCAATAGAATATTCCTCAGGTGTCCTGGGCGTGTCCTTTCAGGGTCCTGGGCTCCACTGACTGTCAGTGCCAGGGCAGGGAGTCATGTTAGTAAGTTGCCATTTGGTTTTGCTGCTTTTCTGAGCCTGGAGCTGAACTACAACTGAGGCCTCGATGACATGCCTGGGAGGAAAGAAAGTCAGGAGGTCCAAGCCTCTCGAGCAGAGATATGCCAGCGGGGGAAAGGCCACCCTGCGGGGCAGGTCCATTGCTGGGCACCGGGGCTTCCCGCCCTGCAGACCCTCTGTCTGTGGCTGTAAACTGTTCAGCCGTCTGTCTCAGTTTCCTCATTCCACTTGCCGAGGAATTTTCCTGGCTTCTTACTATTCTGCCTGTCTTACTTTTTAAAAAAATTGATTTCAGAGAGGAAGGGAGAGGGAGAGGGAGAGAGAGAAACATCAATGATAAGAAAGAATTGTTGATGGGCTGCCTCCTGCACGCCCCCTATTAGGGATCGAGCCCACAACCGGGGCATGTGCCCTGACCAGGAATCGAACCGTGACCTCCTGGTTCAGCAGTAGACGCTCAACCACTGAACCACACTGGCCAGGCTTAATTTTGTCTTTTTATCGGTGAACTATAATCGACCCTTTAAAAATATTGTGTAATATTTTGTAATGGAGGAAGGAGTCCAGGCCGGCAGAAGTGCCGAGGGCCTGTAAGAAGAAGTGGCTCAGTTTGGATGGTGGTGCTACCGAGCCACTTGAGTAAGACCCATATCTAGGGTTAGCGGGCCCGCCTCCCTCACACTCCCCCACAGCGGGGTGTCCCACTGTGTCCTTGTTGGAACTCAGCTGCCCTGTGGGCTCATGGTGTGATGACTTTGAGCACAGGCTCTGAAGACGGAGGCCTGGGTTTGAATCCCAGCTCTGCCAATTATCAGCTATGCAGTTGGGCAGGTGTTCATCTCTCTGACCCTCAGTTTCCCTGTCTGTGGAATAGGGTAATAAGAGTATCTACCTAACAGAGTTGTGATAGGTTAGATAAGTGAATATTTTTAAAGCACTCAAACCTGTGCCTGGCACCGAAAAAGTGCCATCTGAATATTTATGAAACACGTTTGAGGCCCCGTCAGTGCAGAGGCTGGGCCTGGTTTTGCTCTCTGGTATCTCCAGGCCTTGCACACAGTAGGCATTCAAATGTTGGAATGAACGAATACATGCGTGTCCTCTGGTCCTCCTTTTGTCTGTATGTTTCTTTCTGCTGGAAGTCATTCACACCTGAGTGTGAAGTATGAGTCGATGCCACCCTGCCCCTTTCCTAGAGCACCATGGGAGAAAATGATTCGCCTTCCTGGGGAAGGAGCATAAAACCTTAGCGGTCAGGTGGGGAGTTTTATCAGGAGTGGAGGGGCAGGCTTTATTCCCAGGACCTGTAACTGAGCCATGTCCTCTGTTCCATGGAGTGAAGCCCTAAGCATTGTGCCCTTCATGTTTTTCAAGGAGACATTTCCTCCCCATTTCAGAGGGCGAGACCCTTGGGCAGGCAGCAGCTGTCAGACCCCAGCAGGCAGGCCTCACCAGCAGGCCCCCAGGGCGGAGGAGATGAAAGGCCTCGCCAGCCCCAGGCTTTCCCAGAGGAAACCTCGCCCACAGGTCTGCAGGAAGCCACATTCACGGGAGGACAGCCCACTAAGCTTGGGATCAAGCCCAGGTCACCAGAGCTCAGATAAAAGGGACCTCTGCTCCTGGGAACATGTGGTTCTGAGGCCTGGCAGGAACCTGGGAGGAGCTGCTGGCCCTGAAGCTTGGCCCTGAAATCATGCTGGGCCCCAGGCCGGGGCTGCCCACTTGGCCCCTGCTGGGAACCCAGGCTGGCTGTCTGACCCGATCCCACTGGTCCCTGATCAGAGGAAAGTGGCTGCGTTCCCCGGTAAATTGGTAAATTTGTTCAGGGGAGTCCTGGGGTGTTCATGTCTCCTCTCAGAGCTTTCTCATTTTCCACATAAAACCTGTAGTGCTGCTGTGTTCCTGGAGAAGTCACCCTTGCTGTCCTCAGAACTTGGAAGGCTCATTTTTATAAGTTAATGTTTGCAAGAAATTAACTGATGGGTCACTGCTTGGCACCTGGGTCCGTGTGGTCCAAATACTGCTGCAGAACTGACATCTCAATTGAAGAACATTTATTGGGCACCTACTGTATTCCACGCCCTGTGCCATGCCATGCACCGAGGAAAGCCAGTGCATCTAGTCAGTGATTACTGAGTGCTGATGCGGGCCAGGCCCTGTGGAAGGCGCAGGGGTGCAGGCGATAAGGCACAGATACTTGACCTTGTAGAGCCAACCCCCCACTCCGGGGTGCATGAGCTTCCTACTGCCACTGTCACACATGACCACACACTAGTGCCCCCAGTGAAAGAACTGAGAGGCAGTGGCCGAAGAGGATGTCCCAGCATCGCAGACAGTAGCTGAGCGGGACCTGGCCCAGGTGCATCTAAGGCTGGAGCTTGGGTCCCTTCCACTTCCCCGGTGGTGTGTCGTGGTGGTCAGACGGGGCTGGGGGTGAGCCCCAGCTCTGCTATCTGCCTGACCTCAGGCAAGTATTAGACCGCTGCCTCCCATCTGTGACTCGGGCATCAAAACAGTACCTGTCTTGGGGTTGCTGTGAACAGGGGATGGAATATAAGGCTTGTGAAATATTGATCCCTGTATAGAACACACACGCGCTGACATGACGGCGCACTGGGGATGTATGTGGAACGCTTCACACGCAGTTTCACTGAATTCTCCCAAGAAACACACAGTCACTGTTCACATGCCCACATCGGAGAGGAGGACCCCCGGGTTCAAGGGCATGAGTCATCAGCCAGCCCCCATTCCGAAATGTCTTCCAAAGAAGCTTCTCTGGGCAGACAGAGTTTGTCAGCCCAGCTCAACGTTTGGATGAGGTAGCAGCTGGAATCCCCACCCATCCTACTGGGCTGCTTTCTCTGTGTGCCCCCCCGCCCCCCCCCGGCCCCCCCCTCCCCCGCCCCAGCCCTCTCGACTCTGAGCCAGCATACCACCTCTGGGAGAGACCGCCCCAGACGGCAAGGAAGTGCTCATATTCCAGAGTGACAGCGCCACTCCCAGCCACGTCTCCAAGCCAGTCAGTGGGGGGTGAGGGGGGGGAGTGTGCCTCCTCCTGCTGCTGGCTAGCTGACCACTGCCATCTGAACTGCCTGGTTGGAGTCTCTGGGGCCAGATGTTATAGGGCAAGCTAAAAATAACCAGGCGGCAGGCCACCCCTGGGGGGTGGGGCTGGGGGTGGAGGCATGTGCTGGGCGTGGACAAATGATCGGAGGGGGAGCTAAGAGAGTCTGGCAGGCCATGCACACTCCTGCTCCCCATTTAACGGGCCCACCTGGCAAGGGGGCCCTCTTCTCTGAACATCTGGAAAGAAACCCCTCCACCAGCTGCAGGATGGGCAGCAGCAGAAGGAAGGTCATCTGGGTCCTGTGCTCATTGCTGCTGCTCCTTGAAGCCAGTTCTGCCAAGAACGTTTGGAAACGGGCATTGCATGCGAGGCTGGCTGAGAAACCCCACGTAAGTGCCTGGATGGGGAGACCGGGAGGAGATGGGCCATCCCCAGACGCTGTTGGTTCTGTAAGCGCTCCCCCAAACACAGGCAGGGCAGGTGTCTTTCTTCATCAAAGTCGGGCGGTGGGCAGATGGAACTCACGTCTTCAAAAGGCCCCTTGCCTGGCAGCAAAGACGCAAAGAGAACATCAAAAGTGCGCAAGGGGCCTGTGTGTGCTTTTGCCTAATGAGTATCCTTTCTCCTGACAAGCAGCCCCGGGGTCCAAGGACTTAAAGCTGAGCGCTGTCTCTCAGCAAGCAATAACCAAAGTTGTATGCAATGTACGCATGCGTTCACGCAGGTATTTACTCATTCAGTAAACGTTTACTGGAAACTGCTCTGGGCCAGGCACTGTGGGGGGTCCAGTGGGTACAAGACAGCAATACCAGCTCCCACCCTTCAGGGCAGCATAGGCAAGTGGGGGAGGCAGTCAGGTGACAGGTGATGGCAGAACAAAGGGATGGCATGGCATAACAAGTGACAAGAAGCATGTGCCCTGGAGCCAGGTGTCTGGGTTTGAACTCGGGCTCTGCTGCGCACCAGCTGTGTGACGTCAGGCAGATTGTTTGGCCTCTCTGAGCACCAATGATGTCATCTGCTCATTTAAAAAAGACAGAATGATACGTTTCTTTCAACAAACCTGTTTGCTCACCACTGTTTACCAGGCACTGTCCTTGGCTGTGGGGATACAGACATCAGATCCCTGTCTTCAGGAATCCATGTTACAGTAGGAGAGGCAGAAATGAGTGAGAAATAAAAGGAAAACATAGTGAGTTTGGTGACAAGTGCTGAGGGGAAATAGAAAGCAGGAAGGAGAGAGGGTGGGATGGGGAGGAAGGTGCATTTTTAGATCCTCCCCACCCCAAAGCACAGAAGCATAGAAGCGTCAAGGAGATACACCAGCACCCAGCATATGTGTGAGCATCAAATGACTCAATATGCATAAAGTGCTTACGTAGCACATAGCAAGTGGTCAGTGCATGTGGGTGACATTTAATTAAATAATGGTGGAATCAGTTGATGCTTGCCTCCCCAGGTGGAATATAGGTTCCTCAGGGTACAGTCTAATTCTGTCTCATTTAGTATAGTTCCTGATGCCTTGCCAGGTGGCTGTCATTAAGTTGGTGCCCAATACATTCTTGTGGGAAATTATGGGCAAATACAATGGAAGCACAGGAGAACTTATACAGCTCTGCCTCAGGAGAGTCAGGGAGAATTTTCCAGGGTTGAGGGCATTCAATCTGGGGCTTTGAAGGATGAATAGGAGTTTGCCAGGTAGAGACATGGGAGAAAGGCTGTTTAATGAACCAGGTACTATGGGGTGTACTAAACTATATTGAGGCTAATCTCAGCCTCCAGGGCTTACATTCTATAGGCCATGCAGGAGGTCACTGGGAGTGGGGGAAAAAAGTAGTAGTGGCTGAAATGATGATAGGTGTTTGGAAGAAGAAAAGCTCATGTGAGATGGTATAGTCACAGAAGGCTTCCTGGAGGAGGTGAGACCCTGGCCAGATCTTGAAGAATTATTAAGAATTTGGAGAGCTTGGCTGGTGTGGCTCAGCGGTTGAGCATCGACCTATGAACCAGGAGGTCATGATTCGATTCCTGGTCAGGGCACGTGCCCAAGTTGCAAGCTCAATTCCCAATGTGGAGCATGCAGGGGGCAGCCAATCAATGATTCTCTCTCATCATTGATGTTTCTATCTCTCCCTTTTTCCCTTCCTCTCTGAAATCAATAAAAATATATTTTTTTAAAAAAGAATTTGGAGAAAGGAAAAACAAAAAAGTTGAGAAAGGCCATTCCTAGAAGAAGAGCTAATGTGGGCTGAGGGTTGGGGGCAGAACTGGTGTCTCAGAGCCCTGAGGGGGGTCCTTCCTATAGGAGAGGGCTGTGTGTGGAAGGAGGGAGAGGGACCCTCTCGGGTCTTACTGCTCCATGCTTTTTGCTGGCCTAAAGGATGATTGCATCGTCCTAGGTATTAGCACTTGGTACCACAGAAAGATTTCTGATGCTTCACCTGGTCTTATCTCCACCTAGTTGTGGGGTGTCCTAGGAGCAGACATCTCACGGGGAGGAACGGCAAGTCTGGGGGTGTTGAGGATGATGTACTCAGGGGATGGAGTAGTCTCTTTAAAAACACAGGCCTGGCCCTGGCCAGCTGGTTCAGTTGGCTGGAGCATCATCCTGTACACCAAAAGGTTGCGGGTTCGATTCCCAACCAGGGCACCTAGGCTGCGGGTTTGATCCCCGGTTGGGGTGTATACGAGAGGCAACCAATTGATGTTTCTCTCTTACATCGATTCTCCCCCCCCCTCCCCCCCACCGCCTTTCTATCTCTCTAAAAATCAGTTTTAAAAAACCCCACACAGGCCTGGGTGGGCCTCAGAAACTGAGTCAGTTGCTTCTAGTCACCATTTGTCAGGAGCAAGCACTGAAGTGTGCCCCTCGCTGGGCTGGAAGGCTCCCTGGTGAGCACCAGCACCAGCACCAGCACCAGCACCAGCACCAGCACCAGCACCAGCACCCTCCCCGGCGCCCAGTGCTGAGGCAGGAGAGGTTCCTACAAGAACTGCCTCAGAGCAAGCCCCTGGGGAACGACAGCCTGTTGGCTTGTGGCTCAGAGGATAGGGAGGCTGGAAAGGGTCCCGGCCCAGGAATTCATCTCAGCAGCATCTCTAACTGGCTGTGCAGCCTTGGGCTACTCACTGCCCCTCTCTGAGCCTCAGGCCGTTGCCCGGGAAATGAAGGCAGAGGACCAAATGGCTTCCAGGCCCCTTTTCATTCTGGTTCTAACTCCCAAGCAAAGGTTCAGTAAGGAAGTTAAAGGTCCTAGGAAGCAGACCCCACACACTCAGAGACAGGACTTTCCCATGTGGCCCCGCTGCTCCCACCCCAAGCTCAGTCAGACCTTCAGCCTTGAGGGCAAGTCAAGGTGGGGCGAGGCCAGGGTCCAGCAGCACGCTGAAGCCAGGTTGGACCCACTTGGAGAGTTAAACAGGGCCCTTACTAAAGAGTAAATCCTGTGATTTAAATTGTAAAAAGGAAGGAAGCCCTCATTAGAAATGGATCGCTCCCTACGTATTCCACTACCTCTCACTACTCCCTCTGCTCTCAAGATTGCTTATGTCGATGGTATCCGTATGGGGGAAACAGTAGATATTGAGGAACTATTGCTTCTCCTCATTCCGCACCCTCCGTAGGTGGCTAGAAGCCTGCCTCGCTGGGAGTCTCAGCCCACGGACACCGGCAAAGGCTGCACCTGAGAGCTGGTTGTTGACGCTGACCAACCGCTGGCCGTCTGCCCCCTGCCGCAGGCACCCTCTCTCACCTTCTCAAAGCCCGTCCCTTGGCAGAGTGGGCAACGGGCCCAAGGAGTTTCCTGAACACTGTGTACGTTACAGCCCGGGGCTCAGTGCCAGAAGGGACGGCGTGCCTTCATTTCCCACAGGACCCCTAGGGAGGCCTGTGAGGAGGAGGCTTCTCCTCCCTGGGCCTCAGTTTCCTCCCCTGCAGCACTGGAGCGCCTGCTGTGCAGTCCAACGAGAAGACGACGGAGAGCCTTGAGCTCCGTGCCTGGCAAAGAGCCACCCTCTCCACATCTGCACTATTCAAAACAAAACAAAACAAAACAAAACAAAACAAAACAAAACGCAGAACCAAATGTTTATGAGGCTAGATAAGACAGAGTGGAATGTTTGTAAGTAGCCTAGTGGCCTTTTCTGGGAGCTCAGGGTCAGTCGTGGGGAGCTGGTATTTGGGGCTTCTTTCCTGGCATTTAATGAACCTCATAAGAACAGTTCTTTCCTGACCATTTCCCGTGCGTCAGGCCAAGCGCTGGCCATGCATTAACTTGCAGGATTCTCTCAATGCATCTACCAGGTGGGGCCCGTTGCCACTGCCATGTCAGCCCGCGGACCGGCTGGCCCGATGATCCCAGCATGTGGTTGTGCTGTGGGTCTGTTTTGTCCCTACGCTCCCATCCAGGGCAGCGGCAAGTAGCTGTGCAGTCTGCACCCTGCCCAGTGGAGGGGATCGTGAGGGGCTGCAGCAGCCAGGAGCAAGGGGGACCCCTTTGTCATGCATCCTGCTCCCAGGGCGCCCTTTGTGCTTGTCCACCCGGAGCTGCAAAGCGGTTTAGGGTGGGTGGTCACATCCTAGGCGGGCGTCTTCCCTGAACTGGGGCTGTCTATTGCCCTTTTGCATCCACAATAACAGCCTTTGGTGATGAGCACAAAAGCCCTGCAGGACCTGGCAGCCCGCGCGTGTCCCTCAGGCTCCCCGAGTTGGTCCTTCTCTCCCTTGTGGCTCGGTTTAGTTTTCATGCACCGCTTTGGCAGATGACCAAGAAAAGCAATTAGTTTGCTTCATCCGTGGTGTTTTGCTTGGTGTTTGACACTTGTCCTGGAGCCGAGGCACATGAAGGCAAGAACAGCATCATCGGGTTCAGCTCAGCTCTCCCTGTTCCCAGCCCCGTGCCTGGCACGTCGTTGGCCTGGGAACTATGACGTTACCATTAAAGGAATGAATAAATTACGTGAAAACCTTCCAGAACAGGATGGAAGGGATGGAAAGTTCTAAAAGACGTCCAGGTGCATGCACAGCAGGGCTCAGGGGCACCAAAGGGATTGGTCGAGTGTGCAGCCTAACTCTCAGCTGCATGAGCTGGGCTTGTCCCCGGTGTGAGGCCCTAGTTTTGGGGCACCTCTCCCAGGAAGTCCCTGTAGCCATGCACCAAACCCTGCTCCCAGAGCCCAGTGCTGAGGTCCCAGGGCATCCGGAAATGGCATTTGCCAGTGCACACGGAACCCTATGTCCTCTGTTCTAGGGAGAGACATATTTTTAGATCTTTGACGTCCAAATTCCTAAGGAAGAGTGAATAATGCTTAGAGGAACATTGGCCTTCTTCCTGTACCACACAAACGAGTCCTGGGGTGCACTTTTATTGGCCCGGACCGTTAAGTTGCCGGAACATTCCAAAGAAAGGGAAAGCTCTTGCGAATGGAATGGATGGGGTGGGGACTCGGGTAAGTTGGGAGGGGTCTGGAGATTGGATTCTTTCTCCTTAAATGGAAATGGCTTCAAATTTTTTCCTGATTACAAAAATGATGTTTATTGTAAAGAAATACAGACAGACTGTCCTAAATAAGTAAAAATAATTTAAACTCTCCCTCTGACATAAGCTCTGTTGACATTTTAGGGTGTGTTTGCCTAGACTTTAATGAAGCCGTGATACTCCACACACACATTTTTTTTTCTTAATAGGATTTTACTCGTATTGTGTTTTAGAGATTTTCATTAGGATAAGATTCACATAACCATTTTAAAATGAATAATTCACTGGCATTGAGGACAGTCACTACCTCTATCTAGTTCCAAGACATTTCCATCACCCCAAAAGGAGATCCCAGGCCCGTTAAGCAGTCACTCCCCACTCTCCTGGCAACCACCCATCTGCTTTCTGTCTCTCTGCATTTGTCTGTCTGAGACATTTCGTATAAGGGGAATCATGTAGTGCATGGAATTGTGTCTGGCTTATTCGTACTGTTTTGTACCTTGTGTTTGTCATTGAACATAGATGGTGTGTGTGTTAATATGGTAGATCTGTGTCCCCTTTTCCAAGGCTTCTACGGTGTTCCGAGGTCCAGATGTGCCATTATCTATGTATCCAGCCTCCTTTGGCTGGACATCCGGGAATCAGACTTAGCCTAGCAGAACTGGGCTTCCTACCAACGCAGCCAGAACTGACATTTCCCGAAACTACTTGCCTAATAGCAGCAGAATGGCTTTGCACATCTAGAGGCCTCCAAGCCCATCTCCCCAGGGAGGGGAAAGTGGCCACCAGGCCATTGACCTTACGAGAGTCATTCATATCCGAGGAAGGCAGGCAGCACTGGAAGCGCCCGCTGGAAATGTGTGCCGCAGCTGCTTGATAATAGACCTGCTATCCAGTCCCTTAGCGGGAATGGAAATAACAGATCAAGATCCCAGGTTCCTCTGGGGTTTTCATGAAGGATGTGGTCAGCCATTTGACCGGAGGGGTTTGACCTGCCATTATTTTATTCAGACTCAGTGGCAGTGGAGGCGTGGGCGGGCTGGGGCTGCAGAGAGTGTAGGTACCTGGGACACAGGTGGGAACAAAACCAAGTCCTGTATAAGGGGAGAAAAACAAGAAACTGATGAGTCTGTCAAACACAGTGCTCCCATGGTGACCAGGGGTTTGGAGCTGCTTAAAGGCCAGGGCCAGGCGGGTATCTTGGGTGAGAGGCCCGGCCCAGGCAAAGGCCCGGCTGTGAACTGGGCTTATCGTGTGCCAGGGGCCTCACGGAGGCCAGGGCACTGGACAGGAATGAGCAAGGGCAGAGTGGTGGGAGGGAGGACAGAGACGTGGAAGGGTTGGGGGCAGCTCAGGTCTGATCGTTAGCCCAAGGACTTTGGCCTTTAGCCCTTCAACACCCGCCCTCCCCTGTGGGCTGGGAAGCCATTGACCGGTGATCTATTTATTTCTTTGATAAAAGTCCATTCTTTCTCAGAACTCCAGGGGACATCCTTTGTTTAGGACCATCTTTGAATATCACCTTGCAGAACATGAAATATTTTCCCAAGCATTTCATCCTTTAATCTGGGCCCCTTGGGGAAATCAGTCCTTTATCGCCCACCGCCATCTGTTGTCTCCAAGGCACCATCTAAATAACTCGGGGAGATTTGACTTCTAAGGAGCTTATCTCTTTTGTTCTCTCCAAATTCTGTGAAACCTTTGAACTTTCCTCTGAGAGCAGTGGCACATCTAAAATTGATCTCTCCCACACCCCTCTGTTGGGGGTGCCATTAGGGGAGTACTTGCCTGGCAGGTGTCGAAAGTGGGTGAAAAGTATTTCATTTCTTATTCCCAGTTTCCGTTAAGTTTCATAAATGAGGCTTGATATAAAAACAGGCTACGTGGAAAAACCCACCGGCTGGTCCAGACCAGGCACGGGCACTCCCATCACCCTCGGAAGGAGGCCGGGGCAGCTGTCACATTCGATTAGGATTTAAAAGGCGGGAACCCGACATGAGTCCAATGTCGTTAATTCTGAAGAAAATGAATTAAGAGCTAATGGTGTAGGATTATGCCCGATGCTTGCAGCTTGGAAATTATTCACAATGACACTGGGAATTCGGGGGCCTGGGCTGAGCAGGGCACAGGGAAAAGGCTGAACCAGGAGACAGCAGTTCCATGCTCCCATCTTCCCTTTGTTTTGGGGAAGAACCACCAATCTCCTGAAGCCTTCCATTCCTTACCTGCACATGTTGGCTTTGTGCTCTTTTTTACTTTTCACAAAGTTGATAACCTATATTAGGAAGAAAAGATGAATTCTCTGGGTGAAGCTGGGGTGGGGACCAGAGACCCACCCTGTCCAGGCTCTTTGGAGAGTGGAAGGAGGTCGGGGAGGGGGGGGGGGGAGGGCGGGGGGGGGGGCGGGGTGGCGGTGAGGGGTCCTGGGAGGAAGTTTGAAAAACACTAGACCTTGTAATTACACCCATTCCAAAATGAGCCTGCTGGGGACCTATTCTCGGTGGCCTGACGCCCTCTACAGGACATTAGGAGTAGCGCATGGAGTTTGCCGCCACCGCAATAGCTGTGTGGGAAGGATGTTTCCGTATCCTTGACCTTCTGTCTTTGTAGTTGAGATCAGAAGGCATATGCCATTTTGTATCTTGTCTGCTCTCTCCTTTTTTTTCCACTAACATATCATAAGTGTTTTTCCTGTCATTAAAAATTCTTCGTATGTACTTCTAAATGTTTAATTGTCTTCTTTAAATTGAAAACTATAACGGGCATGGCAAAACTCTTTTGCACTAGCTATATACATAATAAAATAGTGAGCAATGAGGAGAAATCTCTCCTGGCTTCAGAACCTAATTCTTCTCTCCAAAGGCAATCCTTGCTAACAGTTTCTTGTGTATTCTTGTATATCCTTCCAAAAAAATATTCCAGGCCTATCTATATATATAAAAAGCTAATATGCAAAGTGTCCCCTCGGGAGTTCAACCGGGAGACCGGGAGTTCGATTGCTCTCTATGATGTGTGCTGACCACCAGGGGGCGGCACGGAACCAAGGAAGGCCTTGGCCAGCAGCCAGAAGGCCCTGATCGACCCTGATCACCGGCCAGGCCTAGTGTGCAACGGGCCTCTAGTACAAATATATACATATTGCATGTGTGCATATGTATATTTGAAAACAGTTAGGATGCATAGCAAACAAACTGTTCTTTACCTTAATTTCTTCACGAACCATAATGTCTTGGTGATCGTTCATAAGCAGGTTAGAGGTAGGTTTTGATGGCTACATACTACTCCAGTCTGCAGACAGGCATTATTTACTTGGACAGCACAGGGGGTGGGATTTTGAAATATGTGTGCAGGGGAACGAATGGATTTATAAATAGGAATTGAGATGACAGGAGCAGTTTTGGATAGGCCAGTGGGCAGGGCAAGCTAGTGTGTTTCTTCTCAATGAACCTGTTCTATATCTAACTGTGTGTGTGTGTGTGTGTGTGTGTGTGTGTGTGTGTGTAGGGATGTATAAGATCTGCCCTCCACACACCCCACTTTCAAATCCAGAAGCAGGACAGTGTTCCTGGTATGGATGGGGTCAGAGAGGCCCAGGGTGAATTGCCTGGTGTGACAAACTCCCCCAACCTCCCCTCTAGCATGCTTCTTTTACTAGTCACATGCCTGCATGTCCTATATGTTAAGTACTGTGTCTCATTGACTTATTGAAACATAATACCAAAAGGCCAAAGAATCGTGCGGCCAACTCCACAAATCACCACCAAGTGAACCAGCAAGAAGCAAGGGCCAGCCTCCAGGGACCCCCGTGCTCTCCCAGTCACCAACCACAAAGTGGCCACTGTCCTAACTTCCAGAAGGACGTTGGTAAGGTCGTTCGGCTGCCCGGTCTAATTAGCATATTACGCTTCTATTGTTATAGATGTATAAAGTGTATGTGATGTATATGTGTATATATATTAGGATCGATGCCTAACATACAAACTGCTCACATTCGTTTATCCTTTTTGCTGTTGATGGGCTTGCCCTCATCTCCGTTGGGGGGCAATTACAAAGAGACACATCTGTTAATCCTCAGAGCAACCCGCCCAGGCTGCTTCTGCTGGGTTTACAGGAAGACTCAGAAGTTCAGAGAGGCCCAGCGACTTGCCCACTGCGCACAGCTCCAAGCAGCCCTGGGCAACATTGACACTGCCCTCTCCCCGCAGGCCGAGGAAGCGGACAGCCCCCGGCAGCCCCGCGCGGACCGCTGCCCGCCGCCCCCGCGCTCGCTGCCCCCTGGAGCCTGCGAGGTGGAGCCCTGCCAAGCCGACTCCCAGTGCCGGCAGCGCCAGCGCTGCTGCTACAACGGCTGCGCCTACGCCTGCCTGGAGGCCATGCCGCCCCCTCCCGGTAGGCGCTCCCGGGCTGGGGAAGTGGGGTGGCGGCGGGTGGGCAAGGGAGGGGGCGGGGGACCCAGGTGAACTGCCCCGCCACGCCCTGCGCAGAGGCCTGGGCTGGGAGGATCGCAGGGGGGCGGGCCCATCTGTGAAACGGGAAGACTGAGGCTCAGGGAGCCAGCTCCAAGCTGCCCTCAGGGAGCTCCAGCCCAGGAAACGCGCTCCAGGGGAAATGACCCCTCCTGTGAGGATGGGGGAGATTTCTCATTAGGGCCGCATGTGCCCATAGGTGGCAAGGGGGCCTCCAGTTCTCCACGGACCCCCCAGGTTCTTTCACTCACGATGCCTGGCCCTGGGGGCATTTGAGACGGAGATCTGGGACTTCAGCCGTCCAGGTGGGGTGTGCCCACAGAGGCAGGGGATGCATGCTCCCGGGTTCAAATTCACGGGTTAGCTGGGGGCCTCCTTAGACCCTCCCCGCCCCCGCCCACCCCCCCGCCCCCAAACACACATAGAACGAGACTGAAATGAGAAAGTGCAGCTTATGGCACGAGCCTGATCATTCGGAAGCGCTCGGGCCCCAGCAGGGCTAGGAGCAGGTCAGCCGTAACATGTGTAATCTTAAGCAGAATCCCGTTGGGAGAAACAGTTCCCAGAGATTCATCTTTGAAAGGAAGGAGTTTCAGATCCTTCTGGGGAGGAGGTTTAGGACAGGATGGGAGGGAGCCCGTGGGGAACACTGAGGGGGTGAGGGATGGACAGCTACCTCCCTCTGGATGGAGAAAAAGTGTCCCTAATTGGTTATGGAGGCAGTAAAGTCTCCACTGTCAGCTCTGCTAGGACTGCACCTGAGGGTGCCATGGGCTTTAACAACTGAAAGTGGCTCAGAGTTAGCCCCAACCTCTCCTCCCAAGGCCAAGGCAAGAGCGACCACGGCTTTTTTTTTTTTTCCTTTGGAGTGAGATCACAGCCCTTAAAGATGCTCATAATTACAGACTGAGCACTGCCTCTTGTTCAGAGACTGGGCAGGCACTCAGGACCAGGAGGCTCCTAAAGGCCCTTTATAAGAAAGACGACATGGCGCCCCCTCCTGGTAGAAGAAAGCACATAAGGTGCTTCCCTCCAGGTGTGCAAGTAAAAAAAGGTGCCCCTTCCCTTGGATGGCCACAGGGCACAGGGATTCCAGCCTCACTGCCGTCCAGGCCAGCTGCTGCTAGCAGTGCACCAGCCGTACAGCTGTCCCTGACATTCCTGGCGGCCTTCACATGCATCGTCTCGTTTTATGCTCACACAGTCCCAGGAGGTGCAGAGACTGTTGTCAGCCCTATTTTACAGCCGAAGACACTGAAACTCAGAGCAGCCGAACCACCTGCAGAGGTCATACAGCGGACAGAGCTAGAGTTTCAGCCAGTCTTCTGTGAGGTGCCCACTGCCCTAGGCCCCGAGGGCAGGGTTGTGGGGCCCCTGCTTCAGTACCTGGGCCCATATACAGGGCCCCTCACTGCCTGAAACATCCCAATCCCAGACACCCACACGGCTCACTTCCTCCTCTCCTTCAGATCCTTGTCCAGAGGTGGCCACTTTCTCGGGGAAGATTCCCCTCTCTGCATGGCAATCCCTCCTCCAGCCTTCCCTTCCCCTCTTTACCCGCTTCACTTTTCTTTATAGTCCACCCCGAATATTGTGTTTTGTTTGTGTGTTCATTGCCTGTTTCCATCACTTAAAGGTCAGCCCCACAAGGAGAATTTGGTCTATTTTATTCACTGCGATATCCCTACCATCTGGGCCCCGAACAGTTATTCAATGAATCAATGATTCATAAAATAATAAAATGACTAGTTTTCACTGGCCAGCAGAAAGAGACATTAGTTAGTCATAATAACAGTGGGAATGCTATTTAACACAAGGTTTCTCCCCCTTGGCACTCTTGGGGGTTAGATCATTCTACTCGAGGTTGTGTTGGGGGGCTGACCTGGGCATTGTAGGATATTGAGCAGCATTCCTGGCCTCTATCCATTAGAGGCCAGTACTACCCCCACTCCACATTGTGACAACGAAAAATATCTCCAGACTTTGCTAAACGTTCCGTGGAGAACAAAATTGCTTCGAACTGAGAACCATGATCTAACAGGAGCAGATGACTTGCAGTGCACCAGGCCCTATTCTAAGCAGCTTACACACTTCAGTGCATTCCCCGGGGGTGGGAGAGACTATTTTCAAAAGCGAATCTTGAGATAAGGGCTGGGGTACAGGGAGTTTATGTAGCAGGTGACCCCAGGAAGTTCCCGTGAAGGAGCAGAGAGGTGAGCCTGTGGGCCTCCAGGCCTTTAGGAGTCTGCAAATGGAGGGCAGGCCTTAACCAAGTTTCAGTTTCCCAAAAAGTATAGCAAAATGTGTACACTTCCCTGCTGCTCAGAAACCTTTGACCAATGCAGAGGAGCATACAAATAGTAAGTATTGATATATTTCCTATTGGTAAAAGATGGCATCGAAAACATTTGCTAGTGTGTGGTGGGAAGCAGAAGGGTAAAACCAGAGGATTAGAAATAGCGGCTGTGGAACGTCGTCATGCCACCCCTCTAGTTTGGAAATTGCAAATTATTGGTTTGTTCCCCCTGCTGTTTCCATTGCCACGCTGTGAGGTGAGCCAGCATTTTTACCAATACCCATCTATGTACTTCCAAAGGCGCTAGACAGCACATGAACCTCTTTAATTTTGTCATATTTCTGACCCAGAGGAAAGCAGAGGTCAAAAGCAAGTGTAACCTCAGACCAATTTCATTTGATCTCCAAAGTGTTTTAAAATTTTTTAATTACTAGCTGCCAAACATTTAAAAACCGGAAGATTTATATGAGTTAGATTTACAGCTTAAAACAAAAATCAGCTCTGGAAACACTGGGAATGGCTGGCCGAAGCTGACCAACAGCTGCCCCACGGAGGCAGAAACACTCTCAGGTTTGCCATATCTGTTTGTCTGACCGAGCCTGATGTTCTCCTTTATATTATCTATCTGCCTCCGGGAGGTATTTGGGCTTTCAACCCCTGCTTTGGATTTTTGAAGACCTTCCAGTCTACTAAGTGGGTCACTCTTTTGGTTAAAAATGTACCGGTACAAGCTGTGCTGCTATAACAAAAAGACCCATAAACTCAGGGCCCAACCTATGAGGCGTTTACTTCTCCCTCAGTTAATAGGCCAGAGGTAGACAGATGGTTCATGGCAGCCAGGTGGCTCTGATCCAGTCATCCAAGGACCCAGGTTCCCTCCGTCTTGTTGCTCCACAAGATCAAAGTGGCTCCCAGCCTGTGGGGAGAGGGGGAGGGAGACAAAGGGGAGAAAACAGGTGTTGATGCAAGAGCAAGACCAGAAGTTACTAGTACATCATCACTTCTGCTCACATTCCATTGGCCAGAACTCAGTCACAGGGCCACACCTAGTTGCAAGAGAGGCTGGGAAATGTAGTCTCCAGCTTGGCCACACAGTGGCCAGCCAAAACTCAAAGTTCTGGTACTCAAAGGAAAGGGCAGTGTGTGCTGGAGAACCACCATTGTTTCTCCCCCAGAGGCGGGGGCATTTCTCAGCTGCCTGAGGAGGGCCTCAGTTTAACCATGTATTACTTTGTTAGTTGTAGATTGGCTGGTCGAGCCGAAACCTCGATGGCTTGGTGGCAACGGCTGGCTCCTGGATGGCCCTGAGGAGGTGTTACAAGGTACCGACAGGATCAAGCCCAGACCTGACGTCATAGCCAGGATCCCCCTTCTCAAGTCACCAGAATTCTGATAACAGAGGCTGCCTCTGCTCTAGCAGGCTGCCTGCCCCTAAATACTCAGACCTCTTGGAGCCTCCCCGACCCCAACACCAGGGGGAGGGTGGGGCTTGGCTAGGCCCTCAGCATCCCCAGGACAGTATAGAGCAGCGGTTCTCAACCTGTGGGTCGCGACCCCTTTGGGGGTCGAACGACCCTTTCACAGGGGTCGCCTAACACCATCCTGCATATCAGATATTTACATTACGATTCATAACAGTAGCAACATTACAGTTATGAAGTAGCAACGAAAATAATTTTATGGTTGGGTCACAACATGAGGAACTGTATTTAAAGGGCCAGAAGGTTGAGAACCACTGGTATAGAGTTTGACTCTCCCTGGGAATGGGGTTGACTCTCCCTGGGAATGGGGTCTCCTTCCTGGTGGAGAATTGAGAGGGAGGGTGCTTGGGGCAGGTTTACAGATCCCTAAAAGCCCAATAAGGGGCTTGCTGCCTCCTGATGATGGGTGGAGAGCAGTTTCCAAAAAGAACCACGTGCAGGCCCAGGGCCTAGAGAACTGTAGGGTTCAAGGGTGTACCTTCATGGATGTCATGTGCGTGAGATTCTGCACACTTCTGTGTGTGTCACTGCATCCATGAGAGTATACAGCTGTGACAGAAACTGGGTGTGTATGTCTGAATATTTGTGTATCTGTGTTCATGCAAATGTGTGTAACTATACATGTGAATGTGTGTGTGTGCAGGATTTGTGTGCATGTGAACATGTGTGTGGGTGGCTGTATGTGTAGTGTATATATGTGTGTTAGGACTTGTGGGGGTGGTGAAAATGTGTGTGTGATGTGTGAGTGTGTGTGTGTATGTTTCAGGATTTTTGTGTGAATATGTGTGTACACATGTGACTATAAGCATGAGCATATGTGTTTCAGAGTGTGTGAGTGAACATATGTTTGCACAGCACTATGCATCCGAGGGCATGTTTGGGATCACGTGACTTTGAACTGCTCCCTGTGTGTGTATGTGTGCATGTGTGCACATGTGCATATGTTCATATGTTCATATGACACTGTGAGTGAGACCCAAGGCTCAGCCTGGAACCTGGGGGCACAGTCGAGAGGTGGCCCCTCTGGATAATGTGTTCACTGCGCTCACTGCCTCCATGGAGGGGCAGCCCCTGAGACCCTGGCATGTGTCCTTCCCACAGCGGAGACCTGCAGCACCACAGAGGACGGGGCGGAGCCACTCCTCTGTCCCTCGGGCTACGAGTGTCACATCCTGAGCCCGGGTGACATGGCCAAGGGCATCCCCAACCGCGGGCAGTGCGTCAAGCAGGGCCCAGCAGGTGAGTGTGGGTGCCCAAGCCCCGCCCCCACCTCACCCTCCTATAACCCCCACATGTGGGAGCCTGGCTAAGGGCTCTTTCTGTCCTACCACCCTGATCCTCCTTTCAAATCTTCCATCCTTTGCCCCAAGCCAGCCCTGCCGCCTCCTAGCTGGGTGACCTTGGGGTCAAGTGCTTCAGTCTCTGAGCCTCGGGTTCCTTGTCTGTAAAATGGGGCCACTTCATACTATCATGAGGGTTCATTTAAATCCTACATAAAAGCCTCAGTAAACGTCTGATATTTTATATCCACCTGTGTGTCTATGTTTTGAATTATCTGAGAACCCTTAATTTCTGCTAGGACCATTCAATGTGGCTTAATTAGTCTGTTTTGGGGAGGAAGGCAGTAAATAAAGTGGTGAGGAGTATGAATAGCATCACTTTAGTTTGCATAATTTTCCCAAGAGCGGAAGGACTGGATGGTGGTACCTAAAACCCACGTGTGCCTCAGGCAAGACGTAAGGTTGAGAGGTTTGGTGTGGATTGGCAAGAAATGTGTGGCAAGCGAAGAATCTGGAACTTCAGGGAGATGTAGGGCAGCTAATCAAAGGAGAGCTCATTGGAGCTTCAAGTCCACATACTCCAGGCCCACATCCCCACTTCTGCCCTCTGAGTCAAGATCAAGGATAACTACAGTGACCCTACTGGCCAAAAAAACACATCAGAGTGCATGGTCGGCCAAAGCTTTCCCCCCTGCCATTTGAGAAATTTATTTCTCTCAAGTGTTTCAAGAAAGACATACACATTCAATCAATTGCACATTTAGCATCATTATAGCTGCAAATAAGAAAATTATGAGACATTAGAACTGTTCTGAGAATCCTGATCACTGGAATTCTGAGCTTTGAAACAAATTGAACCGATGAGGCATAATTGTGATTTCTCCAACATTCCACTTGCTTTTTGGGTTACTGGCAGGTTCTGCAGCCAGACAGCCTGGGATTCCAGTGGCCACCGGCCCCTCACTGCTGTGTGTCCCAAATAGTAGAACCTTCCCAGGCCCCATTTTCCCTATCTGTAAAATGGGCTTTAAGAGTTAAGCGGCCATGCCTCTTGCTTCAAAGCACAGAACAGCATCTGTAAACGCCAAAATCAAACCTTAGGAAGATGAGGCATGTGGCCCACCAAATGCAAAACCCCGAGGGCAGGCCAGCCTGCAGGAACACGCTGGAGTACGAGAGAAGCAGCCTTTGTCAAGAGGAGCTGCGGGGTGAGTCAGGAGTCCTTTGGACTGTAATGTCATTTTTCGTAACTGGAAAGGCCTGGAACTACTCCCCCTCTATCATCCCCTGATCTTGCTCATTTAGTTACATGAAAGCCACTTCAAGGCCACAGATAAGCAGAGAGACCGATGAAATGATGCCTGCTGTTGATGGAGTGCCTCAGAGACACTGCCTTTACGCTTTATCGCAAGCCTGCAGAAGGAGTATAACCAGAAGGCAGGGTCAGGTATGCTTAGAGGGCAGGCTCAGAGCCACTGAAATGGGTTCGAACCCTACAGCTTTCTTCCCTGGTGACCTTGGGCAGGAACCTAACATTTCCTAGCCTCAGTTTTTCCATCTGTAAAAGGAGCTAGTGATGGTCATGATGGTAATTGCTTCATGGGGTAGTGACAGGCTAGAACGAGAGAGCACCTGAAAGGCCCTTAGAGCAGCGCCTGACACATAGTAGGTCTTCAAGGAACGTATGCCGCTATCTCTCCGTCTTACGGAAAAGGGAGGACAAGTTCAAGACCTTGCCCAGACAGTGCATACAGCTAACAAGGAGCAGAGAGGGAATGTGGAGCCTGTTCACCTGCTCCAAAGCCCGTGGTGTGTGTGTGTGTGTGTGTGTGTGTGTGTGTGTGTGTGTGTGTGTGTCCTCCCCTCCACAGGAAGATCTGAGCCTTGCAGATAGGAATGCAAATGAAATTTCTACCGTTGGCCCCAGGGGGATTGTCACTTAACCAGAATTGTTGGTACTTCTTGGGAGTTTGAAACCACCCTGAATTCCAACAACTTTCCTTGGAGCAAAGGTCTCAGAGGGGAGAGGGGCGCTGTTGAAGCAGACTGATCAAGGAAGAAGCCTTTTATTTTATTTTTTTAAAACTACATATTTTAGACTAACAGAAAGTGAGAAAAATAGTACCTTGGACCCCCTGACAGTGACTGGCCGACTGTGCCATGAGCAGGCATGACCGGCCAGAACTCATCCCAAGGAGCGGGAGGAGCAGGAATGTTTCAGAGCGCCTCGGGCCTGGAAAAGGTCCTAGGCCCTGGCTGATTGCAGATAAGCTCTCCACCCCAGCATGTGGGTTGCCCCCCTTGGCCCCTGTTGCCTGTACAATAGCTGTCAGTGCTGGTCCCAAACACCCAAATGGTGACCATAGCACAAAAGGAAACAAAATGTCCAGCTAGGCATAAGGTGATTTTTTAATTGAGATAAAATCTATAAATATATAAAGAGCCAGGGGCAGTCACATCCGAAACAACTGAATGGACGCCCAAACAAGCTGAGTGGGGTGACAAGGCCGGCAGGGGGGTTAGTGAGGGACGACCAAACGACTGAGCACCACGCTGTGTGGTGCGACCAGGCCAGCAGGGGGGCATTTGGGGGTGACTAGGCCTGCAGGGGGGCCAGTGAGGGGCGACCAGGCTGGCATGGGGGCAGTTGGGGGCAACCAGGCCAGCGGACGGGGGCCAGTAAGGGGTGACCATGCTGGCAGGGGCAGCAGTTAGGGGCAACCAGGCCGGTGGGGGGCAGTTTGGGGTGACCAGGTTGGCAGGGGGGGGCAGTTGGAGGTGACCAGGCAGGCAGGCAGGTGAGCAGTTAGGAGCCAGTAGTCCTGGATTGTGAGAGGGATGTCTGACTGCCAGTTTAGGCCCAGGATTGGGCCTAAACCAGCAGTTGGATATTTCCTGAGGGGTCCCGGATTGGAGAGAGTGCAGGCTGGGCTGAGGGTCCCCCCCTCCACCCCCCACACAAATTTCATGCACTGGGCCTCTAGTTAGCATATAACATGGTATGAGTTTCAGGTGCATAAATGTGATCTGTTAGTGTTGCAGCTGTCAGACATGGCTGAGCTGCTGCAGGGGAGACGTGAGCTGCCCAATATTGGCATTGGCATGTGAAATATTGTATTCTGACCAGGTGTCCACTCTCCCCCAAATGTTTTCCTGCTGTGGGGACTGAGGGAAGAGGTGGGGTTAATGGCACTCAACAGGGAGAAGCCATTTGAGACATAGGAAATTGCCAAAAGTTGACAACTTTTTAACACACAAAAATGGCAATTTCATATGGTTCCTCCTAATATTTGCATATATGTGTTGTAAATGAAATTATTTCTTTTCATCCTCACAATAACTGAAGAGGTAGTGATTTTATGCCCATTTCCAGGTGAGAAAACTGAGGCTCAGAGAGGATTGGTGAAGCAGTTAAGTGAAGATTCATTCTCGAGTTACTTTGTCATTTGCAGTAATGACATTTGAGTCTCTTTTGAAAGGACTAAAACAATACCATTTACTCCCCATGTGAACATATTTTGTAATGACACTTGCTAAACAATATGCTGAAATTTTGCTTCCAGTTCATCAATGGGATCAGGACCCCTTTATACTGAAAAAATAATGAGGATCCCCCAGAGCACTTCTCTGTGTGACTGTGATATTTCCCATATTGGAAACTAAAGCTGGGACACTAAAAACATTTATGTATTAATTCATTAAAATAACAATGATAAATTCATTATGTAGTAAACAGAAGTAACATTTTTTTTAAAAAATTAACATTTTTTTCAACAGAAAAAAACACCAATGAGAGGAATGGTATGGTTCTACATTTTTATGATTCTGTATATGAAGTAAGAAGGCTGGATTCTCACATCTGCTTCTGCATTGGATCAGCTGCAATACCAAAGCCATGTAGCCTCTGGCTAAGTCTACTGTGCACTCTCGATAGAATGAGAATGAAAAACACAAGCAATTCTTTAGAATTCACATGAAAGTAGTTTGGGCCGGATAAAATTCCTGAAAGGCGTTTAATCCTCTCACTTGTTTTCCAGAAGAGCCACTCCGAAGACAGACAGTTCACAAAAAATATCCAGGTAAGAGAAGAAACCATTTTTGCTTTACAGAGTCCTAAAAAGGACAATGATCATTCTTGGGTGGAGAAGAAAAATAAAGGCCCAGGGACTCTCAGGAGAACTATAGTCTGAAGCTGCTGAGAAGGGAAGTGGCCATACCCTCCCCAGGTGCTCTTATGCCATCAGATGACACTCTGGGGTTGAGGGGGTGGGATGCCAAGATATGTCTGTTCTGAAAGTCTCTCCAACCTGGGCAGTCCTCCAGGTGGCATCTGACATGGACAGGAGCCATTTCAGGCTACAGGCTGGAGGGTGGAGGAGCCGCTAGACTGGTTGGTGACTGAGAGGGACTGGGGCAGCAGCTCAGGGATGTCTCATAGAAGACAAAATAGAAGCTAGGATTGGCAAACAACTTAAAAGACCTGTTGTCTGATGGGGGAGGGGGCGTGGAGGAGGTATGAGTTGAGAGGCATTCATAGCTAATGTGGTTTCATGGTAAACATCAAACATCAGAACCTGGGATTGGAGAGTCTTTCATTCACAGAATTGGAAAATGTGGCTGACACCATCATTCCATTCAATTATCCATTGCTCCATCCATCCAATAATTCAATCATCTATCCATTCATCATCCATTTAATAATTTATTCAATCATGCATCCATCTATCTTTATCCATCCATCCATCTTTTCATCCAATAATTGATATAATAATTCCACGCATCTATCATATCATGATTAAGCATTTATCAAGCATTCTCTGCTTATTCATTCTTTATTCTATTCTTCATTTTGTGCTGGAAGTTGGGTTACATCTGTGAACATGGCAGACCAGCCAGTCCCTGCCATCATGCAGCTAATGTCAAACAGGAAATTCAAACAATAAGCCAAGTGGGTTTTTAGTAATAACAGGTGTGAAAATCTTGAGGTTGGAAGCAACTAAGCCATCAGTGCAGCTGGAGTGTCTAAATGAGGGGGAGAGTGGCAGCAGATGAGGCCAGAATTGCGGGCGGGGCCAGGACACACAGGTGGTGGGGCCTGGCGAGGGAAGGGGAGAGACTGCAGGGGGGGACTGTGTACCTCGTTTGTGGGAAAAGGGGAGACAGGGCCAGGCTGATGTATTTGGACTTAACTTAGCAGTGAGTGGTGAGCCTTTGAGCGGGAATCGACATGCCTGTTCCGACAGAGCCCTGTTCTTTTGCAGAGGGTGACACCAAGAACGTGGCGGAACATGGAAAAGGACAGCAGAGGCACGTTCAATAAAGCAGTGGCGGGGTGAGTGGGAGTCGATGGCAGGAAGGGGGGTGCGGGTGGTTGTGCAGCCAGGTATCCGAGGTGGCTTCCACCACAGAGTGGACCGGTGGGAGGGTGAGAGTGGGGCTTCACCTGAGGGTAGAATTGTAAACCCCCTTATAATTTCAAAGCGAACAGATGAGAACTTTTTGTGTTGTTAGAGTGGGCGTTTCTATACCTTCTAGACCAGGGGTTCTCAACCTGTGGGTTGCGACCCCTTTGGGGGTCGAACGACCCTTTCACAGGGGTCGCCTAAGACCATCGGAAAACACATATATAATTACATATTGTTTTTGTGATTAATCACTATGCTTTAATTATGCTCAATTTGTAACAATGAAAATACATCCTGCATATCAGAGATATTTACATGACGATTCATAACAGTAGCAAAATTACAGTTATGAAGTAGCAACGAAAATAATTTTATGGTTGGGGGTCACCACAACATGAGGAACTGTATTAAAGGGTCGCGGCATCAGGAAGGTTGAGAACCACTGCTCTAGACCTACATCCAAAGACTCAACTAGGTTGTAACTTGCCTTTCCATCCCCTTTCCAGTCCTTTGCCTTAATGCATCCATGAACAGGCAGACAAATCCTCCATTGTCCCATGACATCTGTCCCTCCCTCTGTCACACGATTCTTTCGAGGGCCAGCTCTCTGATAGGCAGGTACCAGGCACTCAGGTGCTCAACAGTCACACACGGCACCTGCAGTGGGCTGGGAGCTGTGGGGGTGACGCAGTGAAGAGAGCAGAGTTCCTGCTGTCATGGGGTGTACATCTCCTATGTCCTTTAGTAGGACACTAAACGAGTCAACAAGCAAGTCAGCAAGAAAGTGACAGGCTGCAATGAGTAGTGTGAAGGAAGCAGACAGGCGATGTGGTGCAGAGTAGCCGAGCCTGGGCTGGGAGCTGCTTCAGACGGGGTCAGGGGTCACGGAAAGCTGGGGGTGGAGCTGACATCTGAGCCAAGATGAGGAGGTGCTGCCATAGGAAGACCTGGAGAACGGGCACCCAGGCAAAAAGACCCGGAAGAAGAAACGTCCTGATGCGGGAAAGATCTTGGCTTAGAGCAGCGATTTACAACATTTTCACCTCAGGGCACACATATACTCATCACTAAAATTCCGTGGCACACCAAAAATATATTATGTTTTTGCCGATCTGACAAAGAAAAACACACACCAGGTGTAATTTTGATTCATTCACCCCTGATGGTCATTGTTGTGTTGGCTGTAATCATTTAAAAATATATATATGTTTTACTGATTTTTAGAGAGAAAGGAAAGGAGAGGGAGAGAGAGAAGCATTGATGAGAGGGAATCATTGATCGGCTGCCTCCTGCACAGCCCCCACTGGGGATCGAGCCCACAACCCGGGCATGTGCCCTGATCAGGAATCGAACTGGCGGCCTCTTGGTTCATAGGTTAGTGCTCAACCACTGAGCCACACCGGCTGGGCTGTAGTCATTATTTTATTTGACAATCTAAGGGAAAAGTGGTCAGGGCCTGGGCCTAAACAGTTAGGTATTGCATGTTTTAAAAATTCTTCTGGCCCCCAGAGTGCCACAGCATAGTGGTTAGAAATCCCTGGCTTAGAGGAGCCACGGGGAAGCACCAGGTGGGAACAGAATGGTGCTGGGGAGGCCGGCCCCGGAGGAGGTTATGGTTAGGCACAGGCTCTGCTCTCAGGCACAGGTGAACAAGGGTTACGGGATCCCAGCAACTGGAGGCGTCTTAGCGGGTAAAACCTAAATACCCTCCATCCCCTGTGAAAGCTCAATGTCGACACATGGCCAACAAAAGCCCTTGGAAGCGGGCGGTTCCCCAGGATGTCCTTGAATGGCATCAGGTTTCAGATTCCAAAACGTTCAGGTGTGAGACCTCCTGGGACATCTCGAGCCAGTGGGGACTGACAAAGCAGGTCTATTACCTGCTGATGACAGGAGCAGTCCTTGCGGCGGGTCTGACCTACTGTGGACTGTGAGCCTTAAACGTGCACGTGCCAGGGGTCCGGGGGGAAGAACAGACCGTGAGAGGCAGCTTGGATGGCTTTTAGGAGCCAACAGACGTGGCTTTATGTTCTTGCTCTGCTACCACATGACCTAGGCAATGACTCAAACTCTCCAGCCACAGTTTCCTCATCTATAAAACGGGAATGATGGGAGGGAGGTGTTAGGAACTAAGTAAGGTGGTACCTGCAGGGACATCACAGTGAGTTAAGAATTTAGTCTCAGCAGAGACTGGCACCTTCCTGGTGTCCGGTGGGGAAGGAGGAAGAGGATGACACAGATTTGTGACCCCTGTATTGCCTAAGCAATGGCTCATATTCCTTTCTTCTTTGCTTCCCTTTCAGCTAATTTGAAAGAACATTCCTCACTTTCTGTAAGCCTTGGACACAGTGGTATAAGAATGCTTTGACCCTCAGAGGTCATGCCCAGCTCAGCAGAGCACAGCCCCAGAGATACCGAGAGACAGGACACCCGGCTCTCATCCCCAGTGCCCTCCCTGGCTGGGTGACGGTGGGAGCCGCTGACCAGCGCCGGGTCCTGTTCTGTCATCTTGGAAATACAGCTCCACAGATGCTACCGGGGAAGCAGGCACTGCCTTGTGAGCACGTGCGAAGCTCCTTCTAAGTCAGAGTTCCGTGTCGTGTAATTTACAGCCTTAGCCCAGGCCTGACTCTGGTGGGCACGCACTCAGCCCTCCAGAGTCTCAGAATATAGCCCTGTTCTCCAAGTACATTCGCTCATCATAAAATGAAGATGAACTTACCTATTCATGCGTGATTCATAGCTTACCCACCGGATGGTCTTAAATCGGACCAGGCTGAAGCCACTGGCTCCGGGGGGTGAGAGGGAGGGGGGGTGTTGCTGGGGAGTCAGCTCAGCCCTGCTTTCCGGCCACATGTGGGCTGTTTTAGTTAAGATCCCTATGAATTGGATCCTGGGAGGAGGATTTGGTGAAAGTGACATATTATGGAAGTTTCTGGGCAAAACAGGCGGCAGGTGGAGAAGTGGGACAGGAGGGAAGAAGGTCAGACGAGGTGAGGTGTCAAGGTGCTGCAGGGGGTAACTCTGGTGCCAACCCCGGGGGTCCTAGCGGCAGCCTGAGCCCCACCAGGCCAGCTCCGGGGCAGGAACCCGTGTGGTCACGCAGAGGCCCTGCTCTTGGGATAACGAATTCTTAGCGATTGTTGAGCCAGAGGCCTACATGTTCATTCTGCAAGCGAGCCGTGGAATCTGCCCCTCGGGGAAAGAGGTGCCGAGTATGTATCAGGCTCCCAGCACCTCCATGATGGGGCAGGGATGTCAATTCCAAGGGCAGCCCCCCTCCTGTGCACACAGGGGCCCACAGGGGCATGGGCAGAGCCCGGAGGGCATCTGTTACACAATTCAAATCTCGACGGTGTCTGCACAAAAAAAATGGACACATATGCTCATAGGTTTGTGGGGGAACTGATTCAATTCAGCCCATAACCTGCTTCAAAAACAGATTGTGGAGATTGGTATTAATGAATTGTTTGGCAGGCTTCAACTTTTTAATTCCAAATGTGGAGGCAACACCTGAGTACCCATATTTTAAAAACAAGCCACTGTCCTGTCCCCTGTCCCCCTGCACGTCCCCACCCGTGCACACAATACACACTCTCTTAGAAAACAGTCCAAGTCCCGCTTAAAGTGGAGATTGATGGCCTTGGTGTGTGTGTCATTTCTGAGCATCAGTGCATTTAAAGAATTCTTACTGTTTTCGCGTGTAGAACATGAGGGAGAAACAGCCGAGTGACTCGTGTAAACGGTGCATGAAGTGGGCATCCGTCACACGGCCTGGGGAGGCCTGGACCTTCACGTTGATGGAAAAGAAGGACCACTTTGCCCAAGAATGTCCAGTCAGGAGACATTTCAGAGAACGAGGTTATGTCTGTTCACTCCGGGCACAAGCCTCAGAGTGGAACGTATTCACACACTTCCTGGGGGCAAGCCAGGGGCCACCGCTCGGTGACCCATGAAATGCCCAGTCTCCCACATGTCCTGAGGGGGGATCTCACTGGTCTGGAAGGGACCTGGGGCGGGGGTGGCTGTAGCTCCTGGCAGAGAGAGGGGTCTACAGGAACAGGGCTCACCAGGGCTGAGGACCGTGGGTTTAAGGGACTGTCCGCTCAGGGCTGGCCACACACGGTGGACGCAAACAATTACAGCCAGCAGAGACCTGAGTGTCAGAAATCTGAAAGGACTCGTCCAAAGTCACACAGCCAGTAAGGGCCGGGGCCTGGAATCCGGGCCTGTCCTACCCACAGCTCAGACTCCGGAGGCCCAGCTGCTCTGCTAGTTCTGGCCTATCGAGCGCATCCCTCCAGCCCCCGAGGCCCAGAGGGGGGCTGTTCGTGTGTGGTCCCACACAGGGCGCTGGGGACAGGGCTGAGCTCATCCCCACTTAGGGGCTGCCCATCAGATGGGGCGGAGCAAGCACAGACGGGTCAGTCTGGGTTCCAATCCTGAGCCAGCTGCTTACCTTCTCTGACCCTCGGTTTCCTCCTCTGTGAAATGGGTGTGAAAAGAGTGGCTGCCTTTCAGAGTTGCTGGGGAGGATTGTGTGAGATGATGGATGGGTGGTAAGTGCTCGATGGGCATGGTGATCATTCCTTATTATTATTATCTTGGCGCAAATTACAGGAAGAAAAAACACTTTTTGGGGGAGCCATTACTTGTCAAAGTCAGATGATGTCTCCTACTCGGCTCAGCCACCTGTATTCTTTTCTTTTTAAAAACTGGTTTTAAAAAACATTTTATTTGAAACAATGGAACATTGATGAGACAGGCAAGGAAATGAACAGGGAGTCCGTCCCCCAAGGTGACACCTTGCGCAACCACAGGGCAGTATCACACCCGGAAGCTGGCACCGGTACCGTCCCAGAGCGTGTTCGCTTTCCTCCGTCCCACAGAGGGAGCTGAGGGGTGAAGCAATTCTCCGAGGCCGCCAGCGTGGAGCTGGCAGAGCAGGCCACTGGCACGCCAGGGCCCCATCTCCCATTGTCTCATGAACTGCAGGAGGCGGGTCCCACTGCTCCCAATCCCCAGTCTGGAGTTTTCTTTCTTGCCACACGAGACCTCCCATATTGAAGAGACAGAAGAAGCCGCGGCCACCACCTCTGAGGCCGTCTGAGGACTGTGTCCCAGCCGTAGTGGGCGGGGGCCCAGCCTTTGAGGGGGCGTAGTCCCCCCTAACAGGGCCCAGGAGCAGGGACACCAGGAAGACGGGAAATAGTGGACAGGCCCCTGGGCTGTTTGGCCCTGCCTCGGAGACAAAGGGCTTCTCTGAGGCCACTGAAAAGTGACTGGCCCCCCAGGCACTTGGCTAAAGGCAGGCCCTGCCTGGGGCCTCCCCCACAGAAGCAGCTTTTCTATAGGAAGGAACAATGACACAGCCTCTCTGTTCCTTGGGTAAAGGGACAATTACAGTCTTTCCTGGGGCCATTTTCATCTGAGCTGCCAGGATGAACTAACTGCCTGATCCCAAGTCTTTTTCTAGAACATTCCCACACAGGTCAGCAAGGTAGTCTAAAGGGAAAGGGCGAAGATGAAAGTGCAGGATAAATCCTATCTTATAACCCCAGGGAAGGTCCCTTGCTTCCACCGGGGAGGAGGTGAATAGGTCCTGGGTGGGAGGTGCCCAGCCCCCAAACAGATTCCTCCCTGCAGGCATCTGTCTGCCTGAAGTCCCACCCTCCTGTGTCAGCTGGGCTGAGTGTTGAGGCTGCTGGATTGTGGACTCCTTTCCCCTGGAAGCACTGCTGTCGTCTAAGCTACTGGAGACAAAGATACCTGCTTTCCAGAGGAGACACACAGTGTGTGGGCTATCACAGGCACCCTGGGAAGTGCTAGGGTAAAGCCATTCATGGGCCCTGGGCACCTAGTCAGGGTGAGAAGTCAGGGAGGGCTTCTCAGGGGAGGCGCTGTCTGAGCTGAGTTTCTGAGCGTGAGTTTCCCAGTGGCTGCCATACAAATGACCATAACCTGGGTGGTTTAAAACAAGAGGAACGAACTTACTCTCCCACAGCTCTGGAGGCCAGAGGTCCAAAATCAAGGTGTCACCAGGGTTAGCTCCTTCTGAGGGCTCTGGGGGAGAATCTGTCCATGCCTCTGTCCCAGCTCCCAGGTGGCTACCAGCAACCCATGGCATTGCTTGGTTTGTAGATGCATCACTCCAATTTCCACCACCATCTTCCCACGGCCTTTCCCTCTGTGTCTGTGTTCCAAATTCCCCTCTCCTTGCTTTTATAGGGATACTTATAGTTGGATTTAGGGCCCATCCTAAATCCAGGATGATCTCACCTCAAGATCCTTAACTGAGACACATCTGCAAAGACCCAACTTCCAAATAAGGTCACACTCACAGGTTCTGGGCTCTGAGATTTAGGATGTGGACATACCCTTTGGGAGACACCAATCAATCCACAACAGGGAGCCAGTTAGCTAAGTTAGATGGTGTGAGAAGAGGAAGGGCATCCCAGGCAGAGGGCACAGTATGTGCAAAGGCACAGACCAGAGAAGTTCAAGGGACTACATGCAAGTAGTTGAGCATGGCTGGACAAAGGGGCCACTCTGGGAGTAGGGACATAGAGGGTAGAAAGTTAAGCAGGTGCCAGCCAACTCATATCTTGAGTTTGAACTTGACCCTAAAACCAATATGGAAACACTGAATCGTTTGCCTGGGTTGTTATCTGGTTCTCCCCACATCCCCGAGAGGCCAGTATTGTGACCCAGATCAAGACTCTCAGGCTCAGAGAGGTAACTCTTTGCCCAAGAGCAGACCATTAGGAAAATGGCAGAGGCAGGATGTGAACCAAGGCCACTTCTAACTTCTTAGTGGACAGATGAATGCAGCAGGGTTTTGTGTGCCTGAGGAAGATAGGAAATGGTATCTCTAGGAAGGAGGGAGGGGACATTCTTGGAATCTTGCTGAGACCATGTGCCAGCTCACTGCCCCATCTGAGTATGGCTCCCTAATGCTGGGCCTGGGAGTCCCAGTTGGTGCTCTGAGAACCACCTCCAAAGTTGATTGGTCCAGAAACAGACACCTGCCTCAAGCTAGGCCAATCAGAATCCCCGCTCCCCCAGGAATGTGCTAAGGACCTTTTTGACTTGAGAAACTAACGTGATAGGAGACTAGGACACCCTTCAAGTCCTGCTCTGACTCTTATTTCAAACGTGTGGTTTCAGGCAGTTTCTTGAAACCTCAGTGCTTCGGTTTCTTTCTCTGGAATTTGGAATGATGAAAACAGCTACCAAGGCCACCATGGGGTGACATGAAATCCTGGTGGTGAAGCCTTGTGCCTAAGCTGCAAGGGTGGGGAACGTTCGGCCCGAGGGCTGTATAAGGCCTGAAAAATCATTTGGTCTGGGGTGAGTTAATTAAATGTTTGACCAAATATAGCAGGCTAATTTTTAAATTGGTAATTTTGTATGGCCTGTGAATGATGTTATAAACATCCAAATGGCCCCTGGCAGGAAAACGCCCCCCCCCTCCCCCAATAAGACCTGGCACACAGGAAGTGCTGGGCAGACATTAGCAGGCTCTGCTGGTTGAATGAACAGAAGTGATGGACTCAAACTGTGTGGAGGCTACTTCCTGCTGTGTATATGAAGAAGGAGGAGGAGGAGGGAAAGGAGGAGGAGGAGCGGAGGAGAAAGAGTGAGAAGAAGAGAGAAAGAGAGAGGGGGAAAGAGAGAGAGAGAGAGAGAGAGAGAGAGAGAGAGAGAGAGAGAGAGAGAAG